TGAAGACCTGATACTCGATCCGGCCAAGCCGGAGAGAGTCCTGAAGATCGGAGCCAAGCTCCCCGAAGACCTGAAGGCTGGCATCACCAAAGCTCTCCGCGCCTACTCCATTGTTTTTGCATGGGGGCCGGAGGATATGCCAGGAATTGACCGAAGGGTTATCACCCACCGCCTTGCGGTGGACCCTTCGGCCAAGCCAGTGCAGCAACGGAGAAGACCCCTCTCGGCTGAGAGGAGGGAATTTGTGAAAAAGGAGGTGGCCATGCTCCTCTCTATCAAACACGTCAAGGAGGTGAAATACCCTTCTTGGTTAGCAAACGTAGTCCTCGCACAGAAGTCTCCTACCTTCCGCATGTGCGTGGACTATACGGATCTGAATAAGGCATGCCCCATGGACCCCTTCCCACTGCCAAACATCGACCAATTGGTGGATGAGACCGCCGGATGCGAAATCATGTCATTCCTCGACGCATTCCGCGGATATCATCAAATCTACATGCACGAGGAAGACGCTGGAAAAACAGCCTTCATGACACCCGAAGGCATCTTCTGCTACCTTGTGATGGCCTTCGGCCTCAAGAATTCAGGCGCCACCTACACCCGAATGGTGGCCAGAGTCTTTCAAGCTGTCTTGGGGCGCACTATGGAGGCCTACGTTGACGACATGATCGTCAAAAGCAAGAAGGCAGACACTCACGCCGACGACCTCCGGGAAATCTTTGCCATCATGCAAAAATTCAATCTCCGATTGAATCCGAAGAAATGCACCTTCGGCGTGCAAGGGGGAAAGTTCTTAGGCTACATGGTCAGCCGAAGGGGTATCGAGGCCAACCCCGAGAAGATTCAGGCCATCATCAACATGGAGCCTCCACGCAACGTCAAAGAAGTTCAACGGCTGACGGGTCGCCTGGCGGCCCTCAACCGTTTCCTCTCCAAATCAGCCGAGAGGGCCCTCCCCTTCTTCCAAATCATGAGGAAAACGGCGGGCTTTCAATGGACATCTGAGTGTCAAGAGGCCTTCGACGAACTCAAGAAGTACCTCTCTTCTCCCCCAGTGCTCTCCAAACCGAAGGTGGGGGAGACGTTGTACTTATATCTCGGTGTTAGCCCCGCGGCTATCAGCTCAGTACTAATCCGAGAGGAAGACGGCATCCAACATGCCATCTTCTACGTCAGCAAAACCCTCCGGGAGGCCGAACTCAGGTACTCTCCCGTCGAGAAGACGGTGCTAGCCATCGTTTGGACCGTCAAGAAGCTTGGTCACTACTTTCAAGCTCATCCGGTCCAAGTGCTCACTCATCAACCCCTCGGCGCCCTCATGAGGAGTCCCACTAGCTCCTCCCGGATGGTAAAATGGGCCATCTTCCTCAGCCAATACAACATAGACATCCGTCCGAGGCCCGCCATTAAGGGCCAAGCCCTGGCAGACTTCGTAACGGAATGCACCGCAAGATCAACAACAGACGAAGAGCCCTCGGCACCCCTCGATGAATGGTGGACACTCTATACCGATGGCTCCTCGGCCACCAAAGCATGCGGAGGGGGAGTAGTCCTCATTACACCCGAGGGCTTCCGCGCCTATTATGCCATCCGCTTCTCCTTCAAAGTCTCCAACAACGAGGCCGAGTACGAAGCCCTCCTCTGTGGCCTTCGGCTGGCAGCAAATCTGAAGGCAAAGATGATCCACGTCAAGTGTGACTCCAAACTTGTTGTGGGTCAAATTTCCGGGGAATACGAAGCCAAGGAAGGAAGGATGAAACAATACAAGGAAGCGGCTAAGGAGTTGCTCAAGGTGTTTGAGGCACATTCTCTCACCCAAATACCGAGGGCTCAAAACTCCGAGGCCGACATTCTATCCAAGCTCTCGGATGAATCCCCCGAGCACCTCTCGGAGATTGCAAGAATTGAGGAGCTCAGCCTCTCAAGTATCCACGCAAGCCCCGTCATGAGCATTAACCTGAGGCCGGAGGATTGGATCTCCGACATCGTCGCCTTCATCACCACCGGGCAACTACCCCAGGACGAGGCCCGCGCCAAGTTAGCTAAGCTGAGGGCTCCCAGTTACACCCTCGAAAATGGGAGGCTTTACAAAAGATCTTACAACGGCACCCTCCTCCGATGCCTTCATCAAGATGAAGCCGAAGTCGCTATGGAGGAAGTGCACAGTGGCACTTGCTCAGCTCACCAGGGACCCTTCTCCATGTCCCGAAGGCTCATAGTTCAAGGCTACTTCTGGCCCACGATGGCTAGGGATTGTGCGGATCTGGCCCGAAGGTGCACCGCTTGCCAACACTTTCAGAAAGCCCCCGGCAGACCAGCTGTCAACTACGCCCCGATAAGCACCGCTATACCCTTCTCTAGATGGGGAATTGACCTAGTAGGCCCTCTGCCGAGGGGTACCTCCAACAACAGGTATATCATTGTGGCCATTGACTACTTCACCAAGTGGGTAGAGGCCGAACCCCTCGCCAGCATCACGGAGGCCCGGTGCCGTCACTTTGTCCTCAAGAACATTCTCACAAGGTTTGGCGTCCCCCAACAAATCATCTCCGACAACGGGACTCAGTTCGAGGCAGCCCCCTTCTGTGCCCTCCTTGAAGCTTGGGGCATCAGGCACACATTCTCTTCCGTTGCCTATCCTCAGGGCAACGGGCAAGTAGAGAACGCCAACCGCACCCTCCTAGAGGGGTTGAAGAAGAAGCTGGAAGCCGAAGGGGGAGGCTGGGTAGAAGAGCTTCATAACATCTTATGGGCCTACCGCACCACCCCTCGGCGTGCAACAGGCGAGACCCCTTTCTCCCTATGCTATGGATTCGAGGCTAAAGCTCCAACAGAAGTGACCCTTCCGACCCGAAGGGTTGAACAATATGAGCCCGAGGTCAACGACGCCAACATGGCCCTCGATCTTCATCTCATCTCAGAACGCCGAGAGCAAGCTTTTCTCAGGGCCGAAAACTATAGGAGACAAGTCAAAGGATACATCGACGCCAAGGTCCGCTCCCGGGAATTCCAGGTGGGAGACTACGTCCTCCGACGAAGGGAGGCCAGTCTACCCACCGAAGGCGGCAAGATGGCGCCTAAGTTTGAGGGCCCCTACATCATCTCAGCCATCATCAAACCGGGGACATACAAGTTAAAACGTCCTAATGGGACAGAGATTCCTAGACATTGGAATGTGCACCACCTAGTGAAGTTTTACCAATGAGTGGCCAAGCCCTCATCCTCAACAAGTGTAAACATCAATGGCCCAAGGCCCCGTCTGTTTTTGAAGAATAAAGGCCAAGCCTTCATCACCTACATATTATACAAACGGCCCAAGGCCCCCTTCTCTCCTACAAATGAGTGGCCAAGCCCTCATCCCTTCATTAAAATAGGCCCCGAGCCTCTTCCTCTCATAAGAGGGAAAAACAGTTTAGGTACCAAGTACCAAGTGTATGGGTCACCCCCATCACTCTTTGAAAACACCTAGTGTTTTCTCACTAAGCCGTACCCCACGAGGACGCAACCACGCATACATTATGCATACTTTTACATACTCTCATAAAAAAAAAAAAAAAAAAAAAAGAGAAAAAAACCGGGGGGTGCAACACCCCTCGGCTCCGGCTGGTACCAAGTGCCCCCGGCTATTTGTGTTCTACACACAAATAAAACCCTTCCCAGGAACGCTTTCCACGCCATCCCCCAAGGGGAGGCAGGCAACGGACCATGTCCCGGGCCCAGGATTCGACTTCCACAAACGAAACGCTCCCCGCGCTATCCCCCAAGGGGAAGCAGGCAACAGACCATGTCTCGGGCTGAGGGGACGACTTTCAAAACCGAGGCGCTTTCCGTGCTATCTCCCAAGGGGAAGCAGGCAACAGACGATGTCTCGGGCCGAGGAAACGACCCTCAAACCCTTCGGGATATCGGAAGGTCATTCCCGAAGGGGGAGCCAACGGTTTGTTCCGTTGCCTCCCATATAGGCCAAGCCTTTCCTAGAAACCAAGTTTCTAGATGCCTCTCCTACACCATCTACAAAAAAAAAAAAAAAAAAAAAAAAAGGAAGATGTGTAGGGGGGAAGGAACTCCCCGGATACTATTCTCCCCGGAGGCTCAACACATCGGATATACATTGCCGAAGGCTGCTACAAATGCACAAGAGAATCTCTCAACATCGAATCATCTGGCTACATAGCCGAAGGCTTCACTACATGAAGCCTTGGAGTACAAGAGTTCCACCGGAGGCCTAAGAAGAACAAAACTTCACCTAGATCAGAACTCGGTTGGATCAAAGTCAACTATGTGACACGCCGAAGGCTACACAAAGCTCTGAGGCAAGCTAAATCTATTATCTACACGAACCAGAGAATTCGTACCGAAGGCAGAATGTCACCGGTCTCGTACCCCTCGGCAACCATATACACCGGGGGCTCAGGCAATCTTCACACTCGACGGATTCACCACAGTATCTATTGAAACTTCGTGGAAAAATGACTAAGTCCACAAATGGGGACCCTTCGGGAGGGCAACTCTTCACCTACAGACTCATCACTACACTACTAAATGAAAGCTTCCAATTCATTCTATCCCTCGGCATCACTACTACGAACATCCGAAGGGGGTCGGTCCTACACTACGACCGGAGGCTCGCGACAAAAGTTCTTACTTAGAAAATTTTCTAAGTCCACAATCACAAACCCCCCGATGATTCTACCCTACATCCGAAGGGTTCTGATCAAGTTTACTTGGAAAATTTGATGGTTCCACAACAACAAGCCCCCGGAGATTCTACACTATTACCGAAGGCTAGCAAGGAGTTACACTTAGAAAAATTTTTCTAAGTCCACAAACTCGGGCCCTCCGGGAAAACATGCATTCATCCAAGTAAAGAAAGGCATACATTCACGAAGGAAGAGAGCGAAGGCAAATAAAAATGGCAAAAACGGAGGCATTCATTCAACAAAAGCCCAAAGGCGAAATCTATTCAGAATTTAAGAGATTGTTTCATTACATGGCTAAAGCCGAGGGATACAGGCTATTAAAAATAATACATCGAAAAGATCCTGAGTCTAAGCTCCTTGGACTCCGTCGGTCTTGGGCTCAGTGGTGGCATCATCAGCAGTTTCATCCTCATCTGCGAGGCCGCATTCCCTCATCAACTCAGAATCCGAGAGCTGGCGCCTCTCTTCGCCCTCCGGGAGGGGATTCCGGACATCAGGCTGACGAGGAGGAAGGCCGTAGGCCGAGGGATCGAAGTGGCTAGGGTCAACGCCAAAGTGGCCGGCCAGCTTCCTGTAGATCAGACGCTGGGTAAAAAATTCGCCCCCGTCAAAATAGTTTTTGCCCTTCAGGGCCATCCATTCAGATCCGGGGCCTGCCACCCAGCCCTCGACGCCCTGCTCTATGACCGAGGCCACCCATTCTTTCCGGTCCTCGGCCCTCCAGCCCTCAGCGACAAAGGCGGCGACGGCGTTCTTCTCAGCCTCGGCGACAGCTTCCTTCTTGGTTGCCTCGGCCTCCTCGGCGGCAATCTTGGCTGCTTCGGCAGCGGCCCTCTCTGCGTCAGCCTTCCCCTCGGCTCTGGCGATCACTTTGTTATTCTCGAGGATGCTATTGAACGCCATCTTCTCCAGCCGGAGGGTCTCTTGAGCTTCTTGAAGTTGCCGCCGGGACTCCGCCAGGGCCTCATCAGCCTGGCGCTTCTGCGCCTGATATTGCTCCATCCTCTGGAGCAGCTCTCCAAGACCGAGGGCAGCCTGCAGATCAAAACCATCATACAACAAAAATCAGTTTGGCAGAGTAAAAAAAAAAATGTATACGCCGAAATCACCAACTAAACAAAAGCTGAGCGAGACTTACGGTGACAGAGGCTTGGAGCACTTTGGCGCTGAGGGCGTCATCCTTGGCCCTCGACAGCACCGACTTGTCAGTCGGGGGCGTGGCACCCTTTAGGAACTCCCTCGGGTTGAGGGTGCCGTGCATGATGGCAGTTCCCTTGGTGATAGAGAACTGCACATCATCCCGGGGCCAAGCCAGGCTGTTATCCTGGCCCCCGGGAGGAGGGAGGATATTTCCCGAAGGGGAGGAGGAAGAGTGCTCTTCGACGATGACAACGGGGGCGTCCGTCTTCTCGGCCCCCCCCATCTTCTTCTTCTTCTTCTCCGGGGGCATGACCCCCTTCCCAGCATTTTTTCACTTTAGCTCCCCGTCTTGGGAGCCTCCGGCACCAGCACCGGAATCAGCAGCGGGTTTTTGGGAGGGGCCCCCACCCTCCGGGACCTTGGCGGTCCCTGCTTTCTTCAACGCCTCATCAACGAGGGGCTGGTTCGGGGACCCCTCGTCTTTCTTCTTCTTCGGCACCTTGGCCAGCTTCTTTGTCAATCGGGCGAAGGCTTGGACATCCATTATGTCACCTGCAAAAAATAAGGGAAGGATTAGGGTCAAAAGAAGACAAGAAAAATTTTCTAAGTAACACAACAAGAGCCCTCGGTGAACAACCTCTGGCATTCAGATACCCTCGGTCGATTCTAGGGTATTTTTCGTCCTTTTCCCCCAGGAGACGGTATCTTCGGAATCCTAACAAGTAGAGCTCCTCGGGCAGCGTCGCTTCCTTAATAGCGATTACTTTCTCAGAACCCGCGGGCTTCTCAATCAGTTTCCTTCCTGCCTTATCGAGGGCCGCATTGCCTACCTTGGGGTGCCTTTTGAAATGATTATTCAGCGCCCTCGGGAATGGATTTTCAGCCAGCCTGATGTAGCAGAACTTCTCCTTCCATTCCTTATGGGAGGAGGGGGTCTCGGAGAACAATTTCCAAGTCGGGACCTGTTGCAAGTTGGCGTATCCCCCGGCGTGTGAGTGGCCTCCCCGGCACAGATTAAAGGATAAGAAGAACTGGTCCAGTGTCGCTTCCACCTTCCGGCTACGACAGAGGGCCAGGAAGCCTGCCAAGTAATAGTGGCTATTCGGCGTGAGCTGGCATGGGGCTAGCTTCACAAATTTCAGATACTGCAGGACGAAAGGATGTAGGGGGAACCTGAGCCCTAGCTCCACGGACAAAGTGTGCACCGAGAAACACCCCTCCGGGGGGTTAGACAGCAAATCTTCCGGACTCGGCTCCACAACCTGCGCCGACGGTCCCACAAGGACCTGCAGGGCATGACACTCGGCACTCGAGACCGTGGTCTTCACCTCGAGGGCAGTGGTGTCCAGATAGGAGTGGCCCTCGGGAATCCCAACTGGCCGCCCCGCGTCAACGGCTGCCTGCTTCTTCTTTGGGGCAGCCCTCGCTTTCTTCTTCTTCCTGCCCTCGGCTACCCGGAGGGGTTGAACATCCAACGGCCGGGAAGTGCTCGCCTCACCAGCTCCCCGTGAGGGCATGACGGCAACCGTTACCCGGCGGCGCTCCTTCTCCTCTTCCTCTTCGGCGATTTGGAGAGCGAGGGCCATCTCCTCATCTGCCACCACCTGTTCGAATTCCTCCGCCTCTAGCTCAGTGCGGAGTTGGCCTTGGACCTCTTCAGCTATCATGGCGTCGTTTCCTGCCGATGGCTGCTCACTGGATGATTCCACACTTGAGTAGCTCTCCGATTGCGCCGGGGCCTCCTCCGATATGTTTTGGGAGTCACTGCCGGAAGACATCTTGACGGAGGAGAAGGGGAACTATCTAAGCGTTTTAACCGAAGGCCCCTAAAGTCACTACAACTAAACCTGAGAAACTAGCAAAGTATGCTAAGAAAGTCGGAAGGCTGGGGAAGTACTGACCTCAGAATTCGATTGGGATCGAGGGTGAAACTTTCTCTCTCTAGAATCAAATTGCCAGAGCTTCGCTATCTCTCAAAATCGCGCAAGCACAAATGAGCTCAGGCTCAGGGTATTTATAGGCAACTGGGCCTCGATATATGGGCCTCGATTTGAAAGCCCATCATCACGGGCCGCCGGTTCGACCAATGGACGGCACCCGCCCCCCACCGACCAACGGAGGCATGCCACGTCAACTCTTCTTCCAACGGCTATATTACAACGACTATATTTCGGTTACACTAGGGGTGCCCCCGAGTGGTAGCCTCCGGCTATCACCCGCCACACCCTACGGACAATTTATTCCACCAAACGCCTTCGAGCCCGTAGCAGCATAAGCCTCCGGCTTGTCAATGTTATCACCCCTCGGGGGATCATCAACTCATCATAACTCCTTCAGCCCGAACTCGCCTTCGGCCTAAATGAGTGGGGGACTGGCATACACCCCTCGGGGATCATACACGACAAAAATTTCTTCATGCAACAATCTACAATTGACACGTGCAGCCTCCGGACAAACATCAAAGTGGAACCCCCTCGGCAGAGTATCAGTGAGTTCCCACAAGTCACTTGCGGAGCTCCCGGTGAAGATCAACAAAAGGTTTACAAGCAACACATGTAACTTTCGGACGATCAACAAAGAGATCCCCTTGGCTACGTACATCAGTACACCCTTCGGCAGAAACTTAATATCGAAAGTGCTTCCACAAATCACTTGTGGCAATGAAGCAACCTTCGTCACAACACATGCAGGCAATACATCTATGCTTCCCCCAAAAAACCCTCGACATGTGAGGAACTAAGGGAAGCCATCGGCAATCAGCATAAGGCAGCTCTCAAGCAAAGGCACCCAGCGAGATGATGAAGCCTCCAGAAGAATCAACGCATCTACTCCTTTTCCCTCGAGTACCTTTCGGCAAAAGGAGTGAGGGACTCCTGATGGAGTATATGGCCCAGGAACCCCCGGCCCATAGACTCCTACTTCTCCTACACGAGTCCATTGAGCCCAGGGGACATCTCAGGCCCAAATACAACGGCCCAAGCTTCAAAGTAGCCCAGAATACGCACTGGGGTGCCTTCGGCCCCCTTGGCCGAAGGCTCCGAAACTCACAGGATAGCCTTTTCTGGCATAAGAAGCTGCTGGGAGAAAACGGGCGAAGACATGAGCCTTCGGCATTCCCATGCCCTCGGCACCAGGGGAAGCCTTCGGCTGAACCAAGCCCTCGGCCACACAAGGGGCCCTCGGCTACGCAATGAGCCCTCGGCTGCACAGGGAGCCCTCGGCTACACCGGGAGCCTTCGGCTGAACAAGCTCAATCATCGAAGATTCCTTTTAGAGACAGCCAACCACCGCATTTAATGCCACGTCACATTCGCCAACCGCATTCAATGCGGTTGACGTACCACTGCCGGTGCCACTAGGCTGATGTGACCCTTCGGCCGTTGGATTACTGACACGTGTCCTCCCATCGCATTTATTGCTGCTATAAATAGCAGCCCATTTCTCCTTGTAATCGACACGATCTACATCTCAACTCCACGCTGAGTTCATTTAATAAAATCGACTCTCTCTCCTCCTATTTACTCTGACTTCTCTCTAGTTATTCCCGCAATAACCCCTCGGATAAGATACCCCCCGGGTAGACCATCCATCAATAATAATATTTATATTATTGATATTATTATTATTATGTTATTATTATATTATTATTAATATTTGAATCATTGTATTTTATTTTTTGGGTCAGGTACAGCCCCCCAAAAATTCAATTGTTTTTTTGGTTTTCTTTTTTACTTTGGTTGATCTAGTTTCTGGAAGAGAAAAAACAAAAAACAAAAAAAGTTTCTGATTACACAATCCTTTCCCTTTAAAGAATAAATTATATTTCAAAAAAAGGAAAAAAAATTATATTAATATATTATGATTAATATTTTTAAAAATAATTGTTATATAATAATCATAATAGTAATAATTATAATAATAAAAGTGATAAATAATGTTTGAACAACTCTGATCTGAATTTTTCTGATATGATTTGATCTGATCTGAATAAAATAAGAATAACGAATAAGTAACAACATTAATTAAAAGATAACAATTTCTAAATATATTGGCTAAATTAAAAACGTGGTTCTCATGTTAATAGCTAAACTCCAAATGACTAATTTAAACCTCCGGAAAATATTCCAGATACAATGATGATTTTATTTTAATTCATAAATACACAAACAAATTAATTTCCACAAACACGTCCAATTTTATCACATGCAAAACATTTCAGCTCAAACTCAAAGTTAAAAATAAATTTACAACATTTGTACCACCTACTCTTTTAGTTTTTTTTTAAATATTTTATGTCATTTGATAAATGATAATCAACTATCTTTTTTGTACGATGTGAATTTGTTGTAGTGATAAAATAAATGTCAGAAGTTTTAATTCATAATATTTTTTTTGCTATCTATATTTCCTTTTATATTTTATTTAAATAATCAATAAATTAAAAAAAGATGAGATGAAATACTACTCTGATTTTCTAATTCTAAAATATAGAACTTGATCAAATAAAATAATAATCATAAGCAAACGAATCTAATCAAACAAAATTAAACATAACATTTTTTACTTTGGCAAAACCGAACTTTAAAGCGAAACGAAACCAATACCGAACCAAAATCAAATCGAAAAACAAATGGTTTTAGTTTGGCACAAATTCTCCCAACTCGAATAAACTCAACACTAAACGAAACCGTAGAAAACCGAACCGTAAACCGAACTGGCCAAGCCCGGTCAACATCTTAACCAAAAGTGAAAAAATACCCATTCATACGGGCCAGCCGGCCAGCCCAGTCCAATTGATAAATGCAATCCATTAACCCAACATATATAAGCCTAACAGCCAGTCCTTACCCAACTAACCCTCCCATATTGAAGCCGACACCCTCCCCCTCTATCTCTCACCAACGACCTCTATCTCCGTCGTTGAAAACATCCAACGCAGCACCATTCACAGTTCCGGTAAGAACTCAGATCCGGCGACAAAAAAACGACATCACAGTCTTCTTTGTTAAAGCGTAGGATGGACGTCGACACCACATCTTCACACAGAAACATGCCTCAGCCCACATGCAGCAAGGACCTAGAATGCTACCCTTAAAGAAGACGGCGAGCAGATCCCAAAAATCACCACCAAGACTGACTCCACCGACAACCAACGGTGACGAATCTGCTACTTTCAACGCGACGTTCTCAGGTAACGTATTTCGTTCCACATAATACTCAAACACAAACCCTAACCCGATCCCTTACATACACCACCAAACCACGACCTTCCACGAATCTTGTTCACCACGAACCTTAAACACATACCATACACTTCGTGAAGCCCTAGATCTGTGGGTTTTTATTAATGAAAAAAACGATCTCATGAATAAATTATTTTGTTTAGGAAAAAGGTTTAAAACCCACAACCCCAGGCCAAAAAAAAGAAAATTGTACAGATCTGAAAGAACCCAAGTGCATTAACGAAAATATATTCATTTATCTTTTTTTTTTAAATGTTTTCCAGAAATCAACAATACCACCAATACTTAGTTCAGTAAAAAAGTTCTAAAAGGAAGTTATTTCATACGAATAAATTTTCTATTAAATATATCCAAAATATATTGACTATAGCCTATGTTTCCAAAACATAATTTTTTTCCAGAATTTTTTCCTCCAGAAATTCTTACGGGTGCGTTGCACATAATGTTTTTAATTAGGTATGAAAAATTGTATTATTACATCTTTACATAACAGTAGTCTCGTAAGACCCATTTTAAAATTTATTGAAATACAAATTATTTTATTATAATGAAGTTATATGTATATTTTTACATCTACTCCATAATACGGAATTAATATATGCCATAAAAGTTGAGAAGAATCCAGAGACTATCAGGCAAATATTTTCACTTATTAGTTTATGAATATAGGAAGTAATTAATCGAGAAAAATGGAAGAAGAATCTGGAACAGGTAAAAGTACAGACAATCACTGTACCCACCCAGCGCACTAAAAGACCCGGTCCCACTCACTTTCAGTTTTTTAAAATTGAAACCACAACTTAGTAAACACCCTCATTTAATGCTAACGGCCCACCTGCGTATATAATATTCTCGAACAGTACACCAACCCCACCACACTAACTATTCTCGAACCACCCACCCCATTTTTTTTTCTAGGAAGCACGAACCAAATTAATTACTTATTTTAAGACCAACCCACCACATTAAAAACCCACCCACCACATTCAAAACCCACCCACCTATCACCACACGTAAAAGCCCACCCACCACCCACCCACCTATCCACAATTATTATACTCCAACCACCGACGTTATATATTTTTGAAATAAACATCACACATTGTTTTAAAATGAATATCAAGCATAACACAGTTTTGATTTTAAATTACACCATGCGTCTGCCATATTTATCTTTTTCACTTCAATTATTTCCAAGCACTGGCTCCAATCAACAGCTTAATACAATTAAACTACTACTTTGCTACTGCAAAACACACATCGACATGGGACCTGAATAACATACATGGAAGAATGTACAGCGAGAGAGAAAGGTTCATCTTCCTGATCTTGTGTGCACACGGTAAGCACGTATGCACATGTTTCAATTAATCTGTTTCAGATTTATTAACTCCATGTTTCAATAATCTGTTAACACACACTATTAATTTTTATGAACTGGCACTTGATGGACAATAGAAGCAGTTAGGGTGGTTCCCCTTGACTTAAAGAAGCTGGACGACAAAAAAGGTGAGAAAGCCATCCCATTAATTTAGCTGTTTAATTCTGTGCACTATTTTTATACAAAATTATGTCTGATTTTAGGACCGGTTACAGCTCTGCATCAATGAAATGAAAAAAACAAAAATCACAGAGCCACATGGATGACAGGAGTGACATGTGTATCCTGAACGGTAAGTTGTTTACCCCATTCATCTTTAATAATCCACCTTCATTAGTTATGAGTTTACTGAAAACCACATATGAACACTTTATCACCATTACTCTTTGCCACAAATTTTTTATAACCTTACATGTACTAAATTTTAAAATGGATGTTTATTTTATCCAGCATCATTGAAGTAAATATGATGCCAATCACTAAAAGTTAATATCCTCACCATTAAAACTTTTACTTCTAAAAGCACATTGTGAATATCCAATCCTCACTCATCTGTCATCTATCATTTACTGTGTAGATCATACCATTCTTAATAAACCATTTTACACTTACAACAATCAAATAAATGCTTTTTTATCAACCTTTATTGTAAAATAATCAACTCTGTAACTGCCACACACTCACAAACAACATTTTCATACACATTCAACACTGCAACAACAAACATATAAATTTTGAGATAATGAAATTTGCATCTAGGCACGACACATATAAATACTTGAATGCGGTCGCTTGCGACCGATTATCACTGACTTGGTTAGCCTAGGCATTCACAACGACTCCAGAAATAAATAACACAGTTCCAGCTCCACACACAATTTGCCAACCTAAAATCTAGGTTAAAAAAGAAATTTATATCAAATTGCACAGCCGTATAATAAATAAATAGTTCAAAAAAATCTGATTTCCATCAAAAGGATGAACCACACACAAATGGAACATAAATAGATCTATTCTGATATCATAAAAGGCATAAACATAACATTCTAAACATTAATACTATTGACCAATAAGGGGCCAAACACAAAATAGGAGTACATTAGTCACATCCAGCACACTACACCCCTGAACATAGGCAAAAACATCCCCTTAAACTAAAATTTACATCTGGTCAAAGCTATTTAGCAAGCCAACCGAAATCCAAGCCGACAACAAAATCCGCGTTGAAGTAACGCTTGTTCAAACAGACCGTGCGCGCGGAACGCCTGAGGGTCACATGGTCAGTTAGATCAGTGGGGGGCGTCCCCGAGGCGTTACCTGAAGCATCACCAAAAGATTCAAGGGACCACCCAAGTTCAGGATCTTCGTACATAGGGGACAGAGGTGCCGGCGAAGGGAGCCTAGGTGCCGGGGGTGCCCCATCAATGAGATAATCCAGCTCAAATTTTTGATAACACAAAAAACAAAACCCCATATGAAAACAACGTAACCAACAGTACGCATATCAGTTTCGTGGAACATGTAAAAACAGTTTTGACACTGTCTTACAAAACAACTGGCAGCCACACCACCACCGTTTTCAAAAATGGATTCAAAGGACCACCCGAGTTCATGATCTTCGTACATAGGAGACAGAGGTGCCGGCGAAGGGAGCCTGGGTGCCGGGGGTGCCCCATCAATGAGATAATCCAGCTCAAATTTTTGATAACACATAAAACAAAACCCCAGATGAAAACAACCAACAGTACGCATATCAGATTCGTGGAACATGTAAAAACAGTTTTGACACTGTCTTGCAAAAAAACCGGCAGCCACACTGCCACCGTTTTCAACAAAGCCTGCTTGAGTTGCCATTCCACGTTTCTGCTACGCCAATATGAAAACAATATGATGTAGGAAACTTTAGAAAGCTCAATGTTTAGAAGCCCCAACTGTTCTAGAAAATAAGTGTAGAATATATGTTGAAATCACTAACAAATTTTTCATTTATTGGTATTAAAAATGGCCCCACCCCGAGAAGTATGTGGTAGTGTAAAAGGCTTCATCACAAAAAGTTATGTAGATTCAAGCCCAAAAATTTTCTTGATTGTATTACCATTCTGAAATATGACATGTATATTGAAATGGGCTGGAGCCCTCGTGGTTGAGTGTCACCATTGACCATTTTAAGAGATATTTAACCTATGACTGAACTGTGATGGATTAAATTAAAAACACCATGAAATAAAATAATCTCACATATAGGGCAGACCTCCAAGAGAAACTTACAATCAGTCCAAAAATGTTCAACACACAACCAAAAAAGAAACAAACTACTAAGAAATTAGTATCTAAAATGAAAAACCAAACTTCAATTACCTACTAATGACGACATATTAAATTAGTAGCAATGCAACCAATCATTGACTATTGTGACTGACCTAAATGACTCAGCCGTAGTTCTCTGTAGTTCTCACAATGTGGAAGGAGGGTTAGAGCAAGTGATAGTTTAAGAAATAGATGGAGTTGAGCTTTTGGTTGATTTTTTACTTAGACTGGGATACATATATATATACATATATATATACACATATCCTATCCATAAGCCTGACCCTATCAAATTTTTAAGCCTTAGAAGATCACACAAAATCTGTAATGAAGCACAAAAACCATATTTTTGGGTAAAAAACAGTAAAAAGGTAATGATTACTTCCACTCAGCCTATATATTATGCACTAAGCCACTGTTTTCACCCAAAAAGTAACCAATAGGGCTCCCCTTTACACAGGAATGTCATCATTTATCTTTTCTTTGAAGGTGTGGCTTAGTTTCTACCACACGGTTAACTGACAAAGCAATATACACACGCAATGCCCATTCCCATGACACTGTTTATAAAATATCTCATTGATTTTGTGATGGAAAATTTGACAAAACACTAATCATTCATTGATTTTGAAATCTTAAGGCTTTGTTTGCAACCACTTGTGCTTAAACAAAAGCACTTTTTGATAAAAAGTGATTAATAGTAAAAGTTGGTGTGCTTGTAAAAATAACTGCTTTTTGTGTAACAGAAAAAGTAAAAAGTAGATTCTACACGGAAGCCGAGAAAGTAAAAGTTGGTAGTGTTTAAAAATCACTTTTCCTAAGCGGTTGCAAACAAAGCCTAAATAATTTCAAAACATACAGAAAAATATTCACTTTCAGTTTGATTTTAACAATGCTTTTATAAAAACTGGTAAACCTCCAAAATATTCCTTGGAGTGTGATGGATTAAATTAAATTGGAAAATGGTGAAAGACAACTATGATTTCCACCATGCTTTCACCCCAAAACAGAAAAATATTAACTTTCACTATGATTTTTCCATACTTTCATTTTGGAAAAATATTAATCTGTATTCCGATTGTAGGGCAAAAGGTTATTTTTTTTCTGATGAAATTTCCAGCACAAGACTCCTTCGGCAGTTCAGAGTGAAAGACTCTTTGGACATTTTTAAATTCAAGGCCGTTATTGTTTGAAAAAAATTTATGCCCTTGCCGTGCATATGAAATTTTAAAATACACAACGATGTCACACTTTGGAAGTTCACTTAATAACATACTAACACTTGATTACTTATTGAAAATTGCAGGTTGACCATCGGTCATTCCATGAATTGCGGAACACAAATGTTTTTATCGTTCTTTAATTCAATTAAAAAAAATGTTGTAATAATTTGACTTAGGCTAGATTTAGGTCGTTCCCTGCTCAAGCCTGACCAAGGTATGTTTATCTATGCCTCGGCTTTTAATATATCGTAGTCTTGTTGATCCGTTACACGTATATTACGAAATTTGTCTGGCCAGTTGCAGTCAATAACTGTTTTAATGAAACCGGGGCAGTTACTTGCATCGCTACACAAATTATTTTACGCACATTTAATCCTCTCCAACAACATTTTATGATGCCCTTAGACTGCTTAAGTAGTTTTGTTGCAAGAATATAAATTGGTCTGCACAAAAGTCCTCAGATTTCTCTTAAGAAATTAAGTCCCTATTTTAGTTTATTTCCTCTGGCACATATCAGGTTTGCCATTAGTACATGAAAATTTTGAAAATAGCTACCTGCTTTTCGATAGACACACAATTTGTTTTGTATAAAAACAGGTTTTGACCAAGTTAAATCAGGAACTCCTGCATATGAGCCATAGATGGATTAAATAACTTATGATCCTGAAGGAATATTTTACTGCAGGCCATAGATAATGTTTTTCTCGAAAGAACTCATATATTGACCAATATCGCAGGACCTTTGCCAAATACCTTTACATCTTTGAAAACTTTTATACTTTTACAAAAAAATTGTTCATGTGTTTATGATGTGTCTCACACACAAATTTTTCAATGACTTTGTTTAAGGATGATTAATAATCAGTGCAGAATGTGTGTAGAAAAATTTAAAATATTTTTACTAAAAGTTGTGCGAGACAAATCAAAGCGAAGAGGTTTGTAAACTTTCAAGCCAGCCAATATCTGTGTACAATATGTCAATAACCTCTACTGATTTAGGTTTGATTTGGTATGATTGTATGTGTAACGAACTGCCCTAGTCATATGAATTGCCAATGTGCAACGAACTGCCCCGATCATGCCAGCCAATCAGGGGGGTGGTCAAATATGGTGTAATTCTGATTTTCCTTACATTATTCGACTGCAATTTGAATCTCCATTTCACAGCAGTTTCAAGACATGTGTATGAACATTCTAACGCAGGACCATATTTTTTAAATTGCAGGTCTACCATGGGAAGACAAATGAATTGTGGCATGTTACTGGGGAATGTAGTTTTATTTATTATTCTGTTGTTTTGATCACAAATGTTGTAATAATTAGACTTAGGCTAGATTTAGGATGTACCCCGCTCCAGCCCGATCCCAGGTATGTTGTTCCATGCACCGCTTATCTTTAAATTATATGCCTTTGTTGTTATGATACAGGCACTTTAACATGACAAATTTTTTATGTGGGTCTCGAACATACTATTTCTCAAATGAAACACCTGAGACCCATTCAAGGTTGCCGCTAAAGATTTTCTTAGGAACTTTTTTCCACAAAAAATCTTTCACACACAAGATCTTAGTTTCCCCTTTAAAAAACTGCCTGCTTTTTCCTCCAATATGAAATCATAATTTTTAAAACGATGACACACAAGTTGGTTTCTCTAATTTAAAAGTAACAATCAAATCCACATGAATACATATCTGTTAAGTTAAAGTGCCAATTTTCTTCAGATCACCCTTATATGCCACACAGGTTCTGACCTGTGTAGGAATGGAATGAATAAGCCTAGGGCAGAGTATAAGGGTATTTCAGAATTATTTTACCCACTTGAACTATGGTGTTAGACTGTTAGTCTCTGTGTAGTCAAACCATAGCTAACGCGAAAAGGCTATGGAGGTTATGCCTTATTGGCCTAATCAAATTAGGGGGTTACTCGGCCCTGGTCCTCTGGAAAACTATTTCATGTTTAAAATATAGTTCTTTACAAATAAACTAACATTAGATACTTAATATATATCATTAGATCAGTTGAGTTACAGCCAGAGCACACTTTCGGTTAAAATGTGCGAACCAATTACAAAATCCAAAATACAAAAAACGTAGAAGACAGCCGAACACTTGTGATAGTGTTAGTATTTTGTCTTCTAGCAACATTTTCTGGTTGTGACCTTTTATTACATTGATACTACTTAGGACCAACATACTGAACAGAACATAGATAGGACACAACAACTGGAGGAAGTTTTATTTAGTTGTCTTCATAACTTGGGTACATCAAACTCTAGGCACCCATAATATATAGCACTACCTCCTGCAAACCACATATATCTTCCCTGGAATTGGTAAACCTCAAGGCTTAGGCTCCTCGATCTTTATGCCCTTCATTTTCTTCATTGGGACTGTTGAAGAAGACTCTCCAAACAGATTCTTCTTCAACTTTTCTCCATCAATTTCAAGCGCAATCCTCTTTTCCTTGCTCAGCAGTGGTGGGCTTGTTGAATTGATACTCTGGGACGACCCAACCTAAAGATTAAGGACAAACTTGTTAGTTGAATGTCTGAGGAACCATTTGTTTTAATTTTTGAAGGACAAAAAAATGAAGGTTAACATTCTCTGTGCCACAAAACTCCTTCCTCAACAGGGCAAACTCATCCTCATCCTAAACATTTCAAAAACAAAAGCTTGTGTCATAAATCATAATATATATGCAGAAAGTTTAGGTGTCTTAAAACTGCAAATAGTCAGTTATGTACAAACCTCAGCTGTGCTTGTCTCAGAAACATAAAGGGATATAACCCTAGGATCAGTATTCATTCTAAGCACACTGAAGGTTTGGTTGCCCTTGTAGTTCCGGCAGTCCATCTTGCATTGCACATGGAACAATGCCCTGATATCCATCAGGGCATTGATCTCCGAAGGAAAGTAGTGGGGGCCAAAATTTCTCTATAGAAAAACTCTGTGTAAGTCGGTTGTTCTTAAATACGTAGGAAAAAAGCTTAACTTAAACCGAAAAAATTTCCAGTAGGTGTCAAACCTTGGCCACTTGTTCCTTCAAAGACGAAGCAGAACGACCTATCAGACACGAAACTTCCCTATCCCACAGCGTGAATGATGCATGTGATGTTCTGTCGATGACCCTAACGTTGACCTTGTACCTGCACAATAAAATTTTGGGCCTTCATGTGTACTGAAAATCTTATGCTTTCACTATTAAATTCGGAATAGAGTACACTGACCGAAGGACTGCATCGGAAGTGTTGCAAGTTAAACACTGAAATGTGTCACCATTGGGCGTGACTTTGCGGTTACATCCAATGCAAGAAACGTAAGACCAGTCTCTGTGACTGTCTATTCCAGCAATCTCTCCGTAGACCCAGTGTTTGCCATCCTTAAAAAATAAAAATGAGGTAAATATGATATAGGGATGTTGTAAAGCCTGATACGTTTTGAATATACCTCCTCCATTCTTGTCAGTTGGTCAATAGTGACCAGTTCGATCTGTCCGCTGCTAATGTCTCCTTCGTTGGAGGTATCCGAAGATATTGTAAAGCTTAAACCCTCCCCACACCTTTTAGCCATTCTGTGCGTGTAAAAAGTGTTTGATTGGTTGCGTCAATCATCACATTAAAACAGGCTCTAGAAGACTGTAAAATTTTAAGGTCTTTACCTCGCCTTAAAATCATTGAACACTTCCTCCGAACCATTCATAATGACTTTGGTGGTGTTACACATATTTGACACATGCACTTGACCTAAAGTCAATCTATCTGTTAGTATGAAAATGTAAACCCACAAAAGTATGAATTTAGTGCTCAATAGTTTTACTCTCTTGGTATTAAGAAGTCAGATAATGGTCACCTTGGTATTTTCTTGCTCTGCAGCATTGCAGAAGCATGACAATGGGTTCTGTTGTGGTTAGTTTGTAGGTAACCAACATATCTACCATAGGACCCCACAGCGTGCATGCGATTACATTTCCCCTTGCAAAACATTTTTTGATAAGGAGAATGAACAAATAATGTGATACAACGTTCATTATAATGTTAAATTTTACTAACTCAGTATCTCCCAAAATGAGCTCAATCAGTTTCTTGGGTCGATCATTCTTTAGAATCGTTTTAGGGTCTTTGTCATGGACAACCTGGCCGATGATATCTGCATCGTCATTTATTTTTAGCATTTCATATAATATAAGGAACACCAATTGTCGTTTCTTTTAATGCCCAAAACATACCGATTGCCGCTCTATCATCTATAGTGTCTTGTGCGTGTAGAGTGGAAAAGGACACCAATGAAAACGTCTTCAATGGAAATGGAATTTTCATCTCAAATGCCTCACTTTTTTTAAAAAATCTTAGCCTGTAAGCACTTGTTGTTGTTTTGAAAAACATAAAGTTTTCTTCCACCATGAAATTTTTAACTGCAAAGACATGACCCTCCTTAAATAAGGCGTGAAACTTGACAACAAACTGATCAGGAACGTGAGCGTGAATCTTTGAGCCCTGTTATACAAAAAAATTTGTTAAGAATTAGGGTAAAAACATGTTTAATATTAATTAGAATATACGAACCTCTGCGTCATGAAAGATCACTTCCAGAGATGGCGGAAAGCCATCGTGGGCAGGCTCACGGTATACCCTTGCAGCCCTAGCTTTGATGGCCCAGGTCGTTTTAGTCTGGTCTATCTCGCGTATCATAGACCACATTCCAACCATTTTGAGAATTTGTTTACTTGGACAGGAAATTTGTAATGAAATGTTTTGGTGTGGGAAGAAGTGTTCCCGTGGGTTGCTTTTTATAGGGGAGATTAAATGTGTAGATACATTTCCAAGTTACATTGTCTAGTTCATCCTCAACTATTTTGAGTTAGGAACTTTGAAAATTCCCAATAAGTATACTGTTGAGCCACCCATTCCTGCCAATAGGATTTATTGTGAGACTATTCCCACCACCCTCTTTAACCAATAGCAAAAAAGTAGCTCCATCTTTTTGAATCCTAGCCACAAAAATGAATAGGCAAGGTTGGATAATCGGGATTCAATCTATCTCCATGTGTGTAAACAGTGTACATTCATTTTTGACCATTAGGAGTGCAGGAACATGCCTCCTTTTACTGTTTGCGCCATTTTGGAAGTAACCGGAACCCATCCTTCGGATCAACCCAAATGAACTCTTATTTACCCGTTCTTTATTTTATTTACCATGCCAACCAACAAATCCAATCACTTTTTACAATTTACCTCAACCATAGCTTGATGTTGACATTTTTGGGAGGGAGTACTATTCACAAAATTCTTTTGCTTTTATATTAGTATAGATATTATATACTACGTATTTATTTAATTATTACGAATTTAATTAAATTTTAATATTATTTTGGTAAAAAAACTAGTTAAGTCATAAATTGGGAAAGTGAATAAGTTTTAGTCATACCTAGGGTAATTATCTCATAAAACAATGATGGTGGGTCGGTGGATTAACGATGTGTGGGAGAATTAACGGTGGATCGGGAAAAATAACAATTTTTTTGGGAGAATGGATCAGCACTCACGTATCAAATACGTATGCCACCTTTTGCAGCCAGACACCAATGTCAACGGCCTATTCCATCTTTTGTAGTATAAACTTCGTGTATAAATACACAGACACAATACCTCTGCTGTGTAAATCGAAACTCGATCAATATAAACTGGTTAATCTCCATTCTTATTCATATTTCATACTAATCTTTAATTATAGTGAGGTATACACGGATACCCAAATTAAGAAGATGAAAGAAGCATTGGAGATAGTCTTCATTCCGATGCCTGTTATGGGTCACATAAATGGCAAAGCGCATTATGAGCAAGCAATTCGGCAGCAGCGAGAAGGTGGAGGTTAATGTTATCATCACCATTCTAATATTGAAGCAACAGTCGTCTCTTGATGCTCAAACCAGCAATTACGTACATTCAATCTCAAGCGAAGGCGGCCGCTGATGATGATTACTCCCGCCACCGGAGATTGAAGTTTGACACGTATTTGATGCGTGTTGAGATCGGATTTTGATGATTTTCCTAGTTTTAAGGTGTTACAAGTCTCAATTTTAGCTTAAGTTATGTTTACCGGGCGTTGGTTCGAGTTTTGTGTTGTTTGTAGTCAAAATCAGGGAATTTGAGCCCGGGTACCGGCACTTGAGGAACAATCGGGATGATTTGAGAAGAATTTGAGAATGATTTGATAGCTTTGGAGGTCACCGGAAGATTCACGATGAAGATTTGAAGGAAAAAAAGGTCTAGGATTGGTTACGGGGTCAAAAGAAAACGAATAGAGCTTGAAAACGGCGATCAGGATGACCTTCTGTCAATCGTTCAAGCATATCTCCTTGTAGAAACAACCAAAGAACACGATTCAAAGTCCAAATGAAATCCAACTTCAAGAGCTACAAATCATATGAAGACATAATTCCGAGAATCCGATAGGAAGAAGGAGAAAACAGACGATGAAGTCAGATGATCTCTGCTGCGATTTCAGAATGATACCTTCCACCGTTTTGATCATATCTCTTGATTGGATGATTCAAATAACATTTGGCAAATTGGAGTGGATAGAGGACTTCATTATCTACAACTTTCATGAAGAAAGTTTGGTCCAATTCGGAAGTTTTACGCACGCCATGCGTAGGGGAACGCACGACCGTGCGTCTGAGGCGAGAAAGCACGGAAGATACTGCCAGCAACGCACGGCCGTGCGTTGGGGGACGCACGCCGTGTGTTCCATATTTTTACGCGGCTATGCTCCGGGCGCACTGGGGGACGCATTCCGTGCGTTGGCCCCGTGCGTTACCCCTGGAATCCTAATTTCGCCCGAATTTGTTCCGTTTTTCCTACTTAAACAGCCTGTAAACCCCGTTTTCGAGGGGGGCTTAGAGAGAGTGCCTAGCACGAATTTTAGAGGACTTTTCAGCCTTGTTCATCAATCTTTTGGGATTCTTTGTAAGTTCCACATTTTTAATTAATGACAATTACTTCTATTCTTCCCAATTCTATTGATTCTTCAATTATGAATTGTGAGTAGTTTTAATTAGGGATTTGGGATTGATGAAGGGGTTAATCATGATGTATGGCTAGATTCTTTTCGGTTTAATTGCATGAATGCCGTTTAATTTGTGTTTGAATAATTTAATTGATATCTTTTGTAACCTAGAATCGCGACTAGAATTACAATTGCATGTAGAATAAATTAAGAGAGATCTAATTTGTTCTAGGACACATTCACACACACTTAATCGTTCGCTAAGAGATTAGTAGCGATTAAGGGGCCGTAAGCTCGCTCGTCTTGGCAATAATTTAGGATCCTGTCGCATGAGAGATCAGTCTGGTCCCCTAAATTATTGTACTCTACGCCGCGAGAGCGGTAAGAACTTAGTAATGATCAGCTAGGCTCAATTAAATTAATTTCATGTAATTAGGCCTGATCAGCCAGAAATCTGGTTACCCCGGAATTGATCCCTGTTCCCTTCGTCATTAATTAGAAAGAACCCCCTGGTTTAATTGTTCGCATTAGTTTTATTTTCCAAACCAACTAATCTCGCACGACGCTTTTATTTTATTTTCTTTTTATTCGCTGAATTTAATTAATTCTTGATTCCCTTTTGTCCGTCCCTGTGGAGACGATACTCGTACTTACACCACTATATTACGATCTATTTTAAGTGCGAGAAAACACACATCAGTGGGTTGGCGAAATTTGGTATGGGTAAACTACACTTAATGGTGACGGTGTCGGTTTTAAGAGTTAATTAATTTCAGCGAGATTTTTTTTAGTTAGTTTTTCTTCGTAGGATTTTTCTGTGCTAACCTTTCAGTTTTTTTTTCAAAGAGGCATGAGATGAACCCATTCAGCCAAATTTCTGGAGGAATTCCTTTTCCCCAAACCTCCATGGAATTTTCACCATATACGCCATACCCTCCTTACACTCCTCCTCCTCAATATTACACACCTCATCAAAATTACTCTCCTACACCACAAAATATTCAGCCTTCTTATCCGTACACTCCAACCACACAACCCTTTCATTCTGATTCTTACTATCCTTCATCACATTACCCTTGGGTAAGCGTAAGACGAGGCTCCATTCTTGAATTTATGCTTCTAAATAAAACGCCTGAGGAAATATCTTAATGTTTTAAGGATATCATTTGTTCCTTCTGTGGAGGAGATCACCATTTATGTCTTTGCCCCATCAAACCTCTATATGACCATCCTTTCCGGGAAACTGCTTACCCCACTTCTTCCTCCCCACAATTTACGAACACAAATGTTTCAGTCACTCCTACGTCTTTGCCGAGCTATGAGCCACAGGATGAAGTGGAAGAGATAATTTCAGAGAAGCTGTCTGACCTGGAAGAAACACTCAGGCAAGTCATGCAAGCAACTGAGGCGAGCATGGCAATTCAACAGCAAGCAAACACAAGGATGCAGAACATGGATAATCAATTGGGGCAGATTATAGAGGCTTTATCTGAGGAGTCCGAGAGATCTCATCCTAGCGACACAGACGCCCAACCCGAGGAGACCAATATGGATGATCACGTGAGCGAGTCAGACTATGATAGTGGGAATATGATGGATGATACACTTCTTGATGCCTTTGAAGACCCACCTATGGTTGAAGATGATGAAGAAGATAGTAGTGTCAAGTTGTTTTTCCAAGAATACAGGAAAAAGTTTCAAACGGTACAAGTTGTAACTGATGAAGTCACTGATCATTGTGATTTTCATACAGAAACTCCCCAGCCATTTGATTTACCATTAGTCTCAGCACCTGAGGAGGGCAAGGAGAAGATCAGTCTTGATGATTGTGCTACTGAGGTAGGTTTAGGTATTAACGAGAGTTGGGATGCCTTCATGGAGAGTGATACAGAGTTTGGAGGAGAGGTTGTGAATGTTCATGATATTTGTGGAGAAGAAAAAGACTTTTCTATGGTGCATTTTGATCACGGTGTTGCTCCTAATCTTTGCTTTGAGACATCTTTTGAGCTTCCGGTGACACCTAGAGTAATCAAAGTTTTCACTCATGTTCCCTATCCACCTGAAGAGGATGAGAGTTTCATACTTCACTTCTGCGCTGATGAGGGTTATGAAGACCATATGCTGCCTACGTGGACTGAAGAATTTAAAGATCTGCGCCAACTAATGGCATTTGTTGAGAGGAAGCTGGAGATGTTGACTATTAGTGCACCACTGATGTCTGTGCTATTTGAGAGCCTATGAGGAAGTTGTGTCGGGCAAACGACGTTAAAAATAGCGCTTCTTGGGAGGCAACCCAAGCTTATTTCTGCATTTTGTTTGTTTGTTTGTTTGTTTGCTTTCAGAAAACCCCCGAAAAAAAATCCGGGGTGTTTTTTGGGTTTGTTTTTGTGTTCGTGTGTTTTGTTTTTGCAGCTCAGGATCTTGCTTTGGGGATGATGTACCGAGGATCATTGACTAAGTTTAGTTCTGCACCGACCAGCCCCTTAGGGAAGTTTCTGCGACTCTTTTAATCGCCTTTTTGTAATAATTGACTTGAGCTAAGTTGAGCACGCGTGACCCTTTCCCCTTTACCCCCTTTGTGCATAGTGCATTTTTGGTCATCGAGGGCGATGCCAAAGTTTAAGTGTGGGGGAGTGATTTGGGCATTCGGGCAGTAGTTGTTACATGTGATTATTAGAGTTAGCATGCGCAGGTATTAGTTGTATATTCGTAGAAAAGTCATGTCAAAATTCTGAAAATTTTTCTTTAAACTGTGTCTTTGTGAGCTGACTAGCGTTTTGACTATGCTTTTATGACATTCTTGAAGTGTTTAGGCTTAAATTGCTTGCATGGTAATATAGTTATTGAAAGGATGAAGGCAATAGTCACCCATTGAATTTTCCATTAATCATCCCCCCACCTGAAAAAAATCCTTTAGGAGAAGCCATTTTGAGCATGACCGTTTATTGTTTATCCAATTAATTGATCTCCATAGCCAAATGGACCGTGTTTCCTTACCCGTGAATATTTCTGACATAGTTTTGATGTTTAGGGAACTAAGGGATTGATTTGCTAAGTTTAGGGAATTTGTGTAGGAGCCAATTTTGGCACTGTTCCTATGCCCCAAATGAGGTAAGAGCAGTCATCTTTTAGGAATATGATACTTTCGAGGATTGCATTGTACGTAGGCATGGATTCACTTTGAAATTAATGAACATTAATTGCTATTTTTCCTTGGTGAGGCCGAGATTAGAATGGGGTAATGTTTAGTAAAAATATGAAAATTGAAAAAATTAATTAATAGCTAGACCTCTTACTTTGCGAAAAAGAGAATGGGAGCCCCGGTCAAAAAGCGTAAGATGAGACTTGGGTATCTTTCGAAAGAAATGGCATTCTCGTGCCAACATGACAAGGAAAATTAAACCTAATTAAATGAACATGGAGGCTATTGCAAAATTAGCTTTAGTCCTTCGCGTACTTCAAGTATACGTCAATGCACAAATGTGCTGAGACGGTTTAGCTTAGTTGTACACCATGTATACTCTTTGCATAGGTTTAAATGATTGTTCCTAAATTGTGGCCTACTAAGTTCCTTATTCTTAAAAATAGCCCCGAAATTCCCAAATGCATTGAGTCTTTGTCAGGATGTTCCAAACTCTCAAAAAAAAAAGATGGACTGATTTTGTTTATTACCATTCACCATTCACAGTCACCTTCACAAGTCCTTCTGATCAATAGCTAGTTTATTTGTGTGTGCTGTCATTACTCTAAGGATGTTGTGAATACTTTGTCAAATAGTTTAGCTAGAGTACAAAGATGTAGTTTAAGGAAGAATTTTCTTGGTTTAGTTTGTCTGTTCTGTGAATATCCCTTTAACTACATGTGCATGCTAATTGTTTTGATTCCGTGTGGTGATTATCGTAAGTCCCGTGTTTCAGTTTGCTTGAGGACAAGCAAAGGCTTAAGTGTGAGGGAATTTGATAAGTCCGTATTTTGACACGTATTTGATGCGTGTTGAGATCGGCTTTTGATGATTTTCCTAGTTTTAAGGTGTTACAAGTCTCAATTTTAGCTTAAGTTATGTTTACCGGGCGTTGGTTCGAGTTTTGTGTTGTTTGTAGTCAAAATCAAGGAATTTGAGCCCGGTACCGGCACTTGAGGAACAATCGGGATGATTTGAGAAGAATTTGAGAATGATTTGATAGCTTTGGAGGTCACCGGAAGATTCACGATGAAGATTTGAAGGAAAAAGAGGTCTAGGATTGGTTACGGGGTCAAAAGAAAACGAATAGAGCTTGAAAACGGCGATCAGGATGACCTTCTGTCAATCGTTCAAGCATATCTCCTTGTAGAAACAACCAAAGAACACGATTCAAAGTCCAAATGAAATCCAACTTCAAGAGATACAAATCATATGAAGACATAATTCCGAGAATCCGAGAGGAAGAAGGAGAAAACAGACGATGAAGTCAGATGATCTCTGCTGCGATTTCAGAATGATACCTTCCACCGTTTTGATCATATCTCTTGATTGGATGATTCAAATAACATTTAGCAAATTGGGGTGGATAGAGGACTTCATTATCTACAACTTTCATGAAGAAAGTTTGGTCCAATTCGGAAGTTTTACGCACGCCGTGCGTAGGGGAACGCACGACCGTGCGTCTGAGGCGAGAAAGCACGGAAGATACTGCCAGCAACGCACGGCCGTGCGTTGGGGGACGCACGCCGTGTGTTCCATATTTTTACGTGGCTATGCTCCGGGCGCACTGGGGGACGCACGCCGTGCGTTGGCCCCGTGCGTTACCCCTGGAATCCTAATTTCGCCCGAATTTGTTCCGTTTTCCCTATTTAAACAGCCTGTAAACCCCGTTTTCGAGGGGGGCTTAGAGAGAGTGCCTAGCACGAATTTTAGAGGACTTTTCAGCCTTGTTCATCAATCTTTTGGGATTCTTTGTAAGTTCCACATTTTTAATTAATGACAATTACTTCTATTCTTCCCAATTCTATTGATTCTTCAATTATAAATTGTGAGTAGTTTTAATTAGGGATTTGGGATTGATGAAGGGGTTAATCATGATGTATGGCTAGATTCTTTTCGGTTTAATTGCATGAATGCCGTTTAATTTGTGTTTGAATAATTTAATTGATATCTTTTGTAACCTAGAATCGCGACTAGAATTACAATTGCATGTAGAATAAATTAAGAGAGATCTAATTTGTTCTAGGACACATTCACACACACTTAATCGTTCGCTAAGAGATTAGTAGCGATTAAGGGGCCGTAAGTTCGCTCGTCTTGGCAATAATTTAGGATCCTGTCGCATGAGAGATCAGCCTGGTCCCCTAAATTATTGTACTCTACGCCGCGATAGCGGTAAGAACTTAGTAATGATCAGCTAGGCTCAATTAAATTAATTTCATGTAATTAGGCCTGATCAGCCAGAAATCTGGTTACCCCGGAATTGATCCCTGTTCCCTTCGTCATTAATTAGAAAGAACCCCCTAGTTTAATTGTTCGCATTAGTTTTATTTTCCAAACCAACCAATCTCGCACGACGCTTTTATTTTATTTTCTTTTTAATCGCTGAATTTAATTAATTCTTGATTCCCTTTTGTCCGTCCCTGTGGAGACGATACTCGTACTTACACCACTATATTACGATCTATTTTAAGTGCGAGAAAACACACATCAGTGGGTTGGCGAAATTTGGTATGGGTAAACTAGACTTAATGAAGAAGATGCTCAAAAAATTTCATCAAAAAATTCCACCGAGAATCGCCCCAATTGGCGACAGCCGGGCATAACCTCCTATATAAGGGGCTAATTGAACACTTTAAGTTGGTTCATGTACCTATTTCACCCTTTAGCCTATTATATATATGCAATATTATACTTTTACAGTAATTTTTATTAAAATATGACCTATTCACTCCTATCTTGGTAAATTTTAACCAACATATTCTTTGAGTAGTCCTATTTTTTATTCATCAATCTAGATATGAAGTATATGTAAGGCTGAGGAAAAATATTGAATGTGACATCAATAAATTATTATTTGTATTTTATAACATTTTAATAATGCACTAAATATGTTGCTAATAACACAAATTCTCTATATTTTGTTAGTCTATGATAATTTGTTGTATTGAGAGACATGCATGGTAATTTACCGTACCGTTAGTCCGTTACCGAACCGAAACTTCGGTATACCGAAATGCGGTATATCAAAACTTCGGTAATGTATCAATATATAAATCTTGTAAATCGAAAGTTTTGGTATGACAAATATATGAGAGAATATATTCGGTATACCACTATACCGTACCGAACCACCCCTAAGTATATGAGATAAATTTAATGCGATGGCCAATAGGTGAAAAGCCTAAAATGAGACAAATAAGGATACGAGAGAGACAAACAAATCTACTTCATTTAGCTATAAGTTTGTGCCCAAATCCTTCACAGTGAGGTGAGCCGGTGAGGTCAAGATTTTCTTATGTGTCTTCCAAGTTCCAATATTTGGTTCTTGAATCATACTCCCTCCGCCCCGAATTATAAGATACTTTTCGTTTTACGATGTTTGACTGATAATAAAATAAACGGGTCCCTGTCTGCACTCAAACTATTTTTAGAAGAAAAAAACTACATATTCAGAAACTACATTAAAACTGCTACAAAACCTGCAAAAAGTAATTCAAGTTTCATAAATTTTTGATATTTAAAGTAAGAGATTAAGAGTAATTTATGAGTGAATAGTAAAGATATCTTATAAAATAGGAGTAAAATTTAAGCTTTTCCCTTCAAAAGAAAAATTAATTTATGTCCGCTGTCTCCACTCCCCACCAGTTATTCCCAGATTCGCCCTAGCTATTGATGTACTGAGTAATGGTTTGCCGCTGTGGTTAAGCTCTTTTTAAACTCAAGGACACAGCCTCGTACATGTGAGTGGATTCACTCTTTCATTTATTACTTAGTTCCGAAAGCTAACAAATGCGTAGTTATCTATATTTTGCATTCTCCTTTGTTCATATTCATACTCATCCATTATTAACATCTTAAATGTGATTGAGGCTACTTTAATCGCCATATCCTAGTTCGCTGTATCGTCGTGGATTAGGTTTTATGTATTTGTTCTTTAATTGCATATATTCAAGCTCCTGCTGGGATGATGGCTACTAGAAGGATGGATAGATTCAGTGAGCTTCCTTCGGAAATACTTGAAAGCATATTGGGATTATTGGCCATTCAAGAAGCTGCTAGAATGGCCATTTTATCTAACTTCTGGAGACAGATGTGGTTCAATCTTAGGGATCTCAAATTTGATTGTAACTTCTTTCATTACATCGAGAGGAAATATTCATCTGCTCACAGTGACCTCATGACCAAAACAACAAAATCTGAAACAATGAATAGTGATGTCTTGACCTCTGCTGGCATGCATGTAGTCAACAAAGTTCTCATGCAGCACAATGGTCATATTCGCAAATTTGAATTTTCATTTATTAATCATGGGAGGAGTTCGCTTACATCACGGGCATTTGAAATTGATCAATGGTTCCTTTTGGTCACACGAAAAGGTGTTGAACAACTCGATATTCGTTTTCTAGTAGATAAAGATGAATACTCGCTGCCTAAATGCATATTCTCTTGTCCAACACTCAAGAGATTGTGGATCCACGGAGTCTCTGTTGAACCATTAAATATGCCTTGCATATTACCTAATGCCACCTCACTTGCTTTTGTAAATTCTAAATTCGAGCCTAATGTTGCTCTAGATTACAGGGTTAATGTTCCTATGCTCGAGAGACTGTTGCTTATCGGATGTGATAACATGTTCAGTTTTAACATTACTGCATCGAAACTCTTTGACTTAAAGATTCATTCTTGTTGGTATGAGCAGTGCAGTGGTTTTCTCCCAGTTCACTTGGATTTGGGATCTGTTATTTCTCTTGATTTAGATGCCCTTTCTCTCAAGGTATGTTAGTCTAATTCTTTTTCAACTACTCTAGACTACACATTTATTTAGAATGTCCGGTAGGCACTATCTGACAGTGTTTGTTGGTTTCTCAGAAATTTGTTGAAGACTTCCCAAACAGTGGACCACAACTACAACCACATGAACTAAATGTGGAGTACCTCTATTTATCAAATCCATATAATGAAGATAATGCTTCTTCTGCCTTCATTCATTTGTTGAAATTATGTCCAAAGTCTCATGAAATTCATATGGATATGGCGGTAATATTTTTTTCTTAGGCAAATAATATTCTAGTTTTCCCAATATTATTGTCACGCATCTGTTAATTTACTTTGTTGTGAACTTTGGCTCATTGAGGATTTCTTCGTTTTCTTTCTTTTGCACTTTCTGAAGTTTGTCGAAGCTCTGAGAGATTGTTTAGGCACAAAGTCGGAGAATTCAAAGGAACTTTATCGTGTGGCAGAAACACACAACTTGCTTCACACTTTGAGTATTGATTTCTTTGATGCATGTGAGAATTATCTGCCTTTGGTCAAGGGGCTACTTTCCTCCTTTCCAACACTTGTGAAGTTTGTCATAAAGGACCTCGACTCTGAATCTAATAAACAGATTTTGGAACTTCCCACAAACGTTGAAATGACGGTTGTGAATTTTGAATATTGAATGATGTTTGGAATTTGTGATTGGCAGTGTAGGCATTGTGTTTGGCATTTTCTATCATTTCAATTAAATCAATGATTTCTGGATAGCGTAGCCAATTATGGGTAGGCAGTAGTTTCACTACAAACTTTATCAAGTTACAGTATACTAAAGTATTGTTTTGTTGTTGATGCTAATGTGGCTAATAACTACTACGTCTAATATTAGTGGAGGAATGTTGTTATTCCTACTATGAATGACTGACTCTGTAAAACCTGAATTGTGCAATAACTTTTTCTATTGGAGACTAATTTGTTGGAATTTGCCAATTTGGCATTCGACTATGAGTTACCCAAACCAATTGAGATAGGCGTGCTACAAGTCTCCAATACTCCTACTGCCCCAATGCGGATATCTTGCACATTACAACCTTTCTTAAAGAAATACCAAACTTCAATTAGTAAAACTTCAGCTGTTAGGAGGGTTTGTAAAACTTAATTATATTGTGTGTTAGTTTTCTTGACCAACTTATTGTGATTAGTGAAGTCATGCTAATTGCCTTCTATTTTAAATTTGGGCAACATATTATTTAGTCATGGACCCGGGCCGGGCCTCCAGTTTGGTCATTTTTTTTATTTTTTTTTGCTTTACTAACCCCCCCCCCTCACCCCCACCCCCCCAAACCCCTCCTAACCATCAAGCCCAACCCGGGTAACCCCAAAAAATGAAAAAATAAAAATAAAAAAAATCAATTCGGCCCGGACACGGGCCCGACCCGGCCGGGCCGGTTCGCCAAATACAAGGCCCGAGCCTGGACCCGCCCCCCCACCGGGCCTGGGCCCAACCCGGGCCGGTTCCGGTTCCGCACAGTAGCGGGCCGGTTCGCCAAATACAAGGCCCGAGCCCGGACCCGCCCCCCACCGGGCCTGGGCCCAACCCGGGCTGGTTCCGGTTCTGCACAGTAGCGGGCCGGGCCGGTCCCGTGCCGAACCGGGTCCATGACTAATATTATTGTTCTCAACGAACTCATTAGATGAGTAATAATTAAATTAGACAAACTCATCTTTTTAGAGAAGATGAGTAATAATTAAATAACAAACGACCTTTCATTTGTTAAAGTAATAATCTAAGAGCCCGTTTGGTAATGCCAAAATCGGATGAATTTGCTGATTTTGCTTAAATTTATAAAGTTCTGGTCGAAGGAGTTGTATTTGATGATTCTGCTTATTTATAAAAAATATTGAAAATATTTTTTTTAATAAAATAAAGAAACAATCATATGAAAAATATAGTAGCTAAAATGGTCCTCTACAGTAACTTCAGGCACTACAGTCACAAAAGTAAGTACAATCTTACTTTTTTATTATCACACAATCGCGCAAAATCAAAATTTACGCGTTTGGTGAAAATATTGGGTGATAAGCTTGATAAGCCGAAAAACATGGTTACCACACAGGCTCTAATATGCCTAAAAAGTTCAGAGTAATACTCTAATTAAGCAACTATGGAGTAGTGCTACTGGAAGCTGGAAGACACATGGTCCCGAGTGAAACGAGGTTGAAAAGAAAAATTGCTTATATTAATAGGAAAATTACCCTAAATAGGACTAAAAACATTTGTAAATTCCAAAATAGGACTGTAATGTTTTTATTCCCAAATAGGACGAATTACTGTCATGTTTTGGCAGTATCCGACTTTAAACATGACAGTATTTTCCAAACTTGGCAGTAATTACTCCTATTTTGAGAATAAAAACATGACAGTCATATTTTGGAATTTTCAAACTTTTTTAGTCCTATTTTAGGAATTTCCCCATATCAATATCATTAGGATTCATATCATTACATCAACAACAACTACCTATCTGTAACCAACTATCACTATCAATCATACAGTTAGATATATAATCGATCACCCCTGAAAGAGCAATACGAATCGCTAACCCCTACATGCGTGTCATACAAAAATCACTGGCTATATAGATCCTTCTAACAACATAATAGCTAGCAGAATTGTCATGTAGACCTAAAACTAAACACATCAACAACAAATTAAACAAAGTAAACAAACACAACGCGAAAATAAGGCCATAAGAAATAAAATAACTGACAAAAACATTAAACTCCTTCCTCCCAATTTTCTTGAAACATCATCTTCCAAACTCTAGCACCTCGATCACTCTAAGGCGACGGTTCAGGAGGGGGAAAATCGTCGATCTGTCTTGTCCCTTGTTCATCCCTTTACCTCTCCCCGTTTGCTCGTCGCCCGTGCTGCTTCCTAATATGGCCGCCGTGAACCTGCCAATCGTATCCAGCTTCTCCCCTGCTCAATCACCCTCCATCCCTTTGCTTCTTGAGCGTCGAAACAGGCGATCAACCTTGTTTTCACTCATCGGAGAAACAAAGGCCAAATCAACGCCGATCACTTTGTGCGTGTCTTCCCATAGCTACTTTGTGCGTGTCTTCCCATAGCTACGGTAGTGATCGACAAGTTCCTGGAACACGCTTGAATCACCTTTGAGCGCCCAAAGCAAAGCTAAATCATAAGCCATTATATACGAACAAGCTTCGCCTAAGACAAAACCAATTCCAAAGAAGAAATCAAAATTAGAAAAGCAAAAGCCGCACGAAGATTGGTGGAGAAACGAACCCTACATTAGAAAGGGAACAACCATAATCAACAAAAGTAGCCAATTCAACCACTTCAATCAGAATTTCATCATTTCAGCAGATTCAACCAATCTTAGTGTTATCAAACACGCTCTTAATTCATGTTCCCTTAAATTTGTATTCACAACCTCACTTCATATCCATTTCTTATTTATGCAATGTTATCAATTTATTAATTCCTCAGTTAATATTAATTAATTCAATAAGTTGTTTAAATAAGGTGATTGATGAAAAAACTACCCAAAAAGCAATGTGCGTAGATTTGTTAAGACTTAGTGTTCCATTCTAAAATATGATTCACACTATAGAGTAACATGATATCTTTATATTGGTGTTCACGATTTCATAACTTATGGGTGTGAGAAATATATCAACGCCCCTCCTCACAAGCAGACACTTCGTTTGGATTGTGCCATCATTCACTTTTTCATCGGTTCATCGTTGTCATTTTTTATAATCATCTTCACTTTTCATATGGGCCTACACCTTGACTATGGATCAGTTTGACTCTGATGTCATGTTAAGACTCGGAGTAGAAGGAGAAGAAAAGGAGGAGGTTAACACATTTTCGGCGAAGGACAGTTTGCGGGGATGCGACAACGACCTTCTCTGGCAGCGATGTGGGAAGGCGGGGCAGCAAGAACGCTATAAGGAAATGTTGCAGTCGGCAAAGCTTGGCTGCGTTGGAAATGGGGTTGCAAGTGGTGACGGAGGTCGGGCATAGGTGTAACACCACGACTCTACAGGGTCCAAAGTAGTTACTCATAGATACTCTTCAAACCTCTAGTACATTCTTCAAAAATCAACACAAGCATTTACTTGCACTTTTTTCCCATTGGTGCGCGTCCTGAAAATCTTATCACGAGTCACCCATCCAAGAATACTCTCGTGCAACCACGCTTAAAAAGTATTATTATGTCTTTAAAAAGTACATAATTAAATATAACTCATTGTTTTCATATCATTTGATAATATTTGAATAATTGTAATTAATTCTTACTTTATACATACCTTACTAAATTAATACTGACCAACTCTGTTTTTCTTAATTGTCGTGCAACTCTCTCATTTTGTGATCTGAGGAGCGGAGGACGCCGGAGGTAGTAGTGTTTTCTAATATACATTTGAAAATAACATATTTGTAAAATCAATAAAAATTTCCTAAAATTCTATTAATTTTAACTACAAATTTAATTATTTACAAAAGGAAAGAATCAATAAAGAAAAACAACTTTAATTTTTTTTGCATATCCGAATTGTTCAAATGAGGACTGGGCAAACTGATTTGGTTCAATCAAATCAAATCGAACCAAATTGAAAATTGGTATTTTTGTTTGGTTTGGATTTACTTAAACTATTTGGTAAACAGTTAAACACTCAATGAGGCATATCCAAGGCAGCCAGCCACTACCGTGTCCAGCAAATTCAAAGGGAACTGAACGAGAAAACAAAGATGCATGAAGAAGAAAGTAAGCAAGGAGAAAAGTGATTTTGAACCAACAACCTTGGGTCGAGCCCCGAGTGGAATAAAAGAAAAGTTGATCAAGGGTGTATAACTTCAATATCCATAATCGAGGAAATAATTTCAACGCTTTGGAACGGCCGTCGGGAGGTTTCCACTGAACGACACTTTCTTAAAGGAAAATTTTAGTGTATACAAGTTGTACATAAATTGCACACAAAATCCTCCTCTTAGTTGTCTGTGTACATATGTAATTCGTTTAAAAGGGGGCTAGGCTTGATGTCAAATTGACTATGTATAACAACAATGTATATGTTGGGCCCAGGAAAATTCGTCCAGTAGCAAGGCCCATGGTAGGTTAGTCAAACTTATGGTCTAGCCCGTAGGACATGATAGAATTAATGGATGTTCGGCCCATCTGGTGAGGACTTGTAAACAAACCCAGCGGAGGGAGAAGACTTCAGCCCGAACAAGTCAAGGACTAATGGACCGTTGCTGAGAAGTGGAGATAAGCATGATTATTCAAAACTTGGAGCAAAAGAATAGCTTTGCACGTCCACCATCCCCTGCTATTTCGGTGGACAGTTGGCTCAAGATTAGGAGGAGGAAATTAGCTTAAATATATCACTGGTAGAGGACGAACGATCACTACTATCAGCCTTACTACTAGTTATCACTTTCGAACTTCATCAAATACATTGTCATCTCTTGTTATTCTTTCCATTATCAATATCAAAGTATTAATAGTTCATATCATAGTCTTTTGCACGAGTCCCAAATCCTTTTTAAATTGTTGAAGGAGGTTACCTATTCCTTGCTTAAACAATTTGGCGCCCACCGTGGGGCATCGTGCAAGAAAGAAATCAATTATGGCAGGAACGAATCAGCTGTTAATTGAATTCCATGAGCAGCTCGAGACAATCCGAGAGGAGATCCGGCGGGAGATGGCGGAGAAGATGGCTCTTCTTCAGCGCGAGAACGACGTACTTCGTTCTCAGGTACAATCAGCAGTCTCGATAGCTTCAAACTCGAGGCTCAACCGAAGGGGAGATACATCAACTGCTGCAACAAGGCTATATCTCGGTTTCTCCCCGGCGGCGACGAATCCACCAGCGACGT